CATAAAATGTCAGGATGGCTGGGTCCCATGAAGCCCGAGTGGACCAACAGAAACCGTCCACAATACCGCAAGGGCTAAGTGCTCACTGGGTACCACACATGGTGCCATTCCCTCCGCAGACTCTGCAGCACCCAGCTGTCCCCAGTACCATGAGACCAGGCATGACGACACTGTGTCACAGAGGACAAGGATGCTTAGAAGGAGGAAGCGACGTGACCAAGAGCACTAGCTGACAAATGCCGGAGACCGAGATTAAACCTGTGCTCTCGATCACTCAACTCTACGACTCTTACGTGTTTTCTTTTCCCCAGGAAAGATGTGCGTGTGTGGGAGCTTGGTAGCTCCAGTCTGCCTACAGCAATTCCCTCATCTCTTTGCCAGGAGGAGGTGCCCAGAGAACTGAACTATTCGTTAGGAGGCCTGGCTGCCATTCTTTTGCCAGGCTGTTCAAGGACCATACTATTCAAGGTCCTTTGAGTGTTCTCAGGGTAATCATTGCTCTCAAAACTGAATAAGTGAGCCCTGACCGGTTTGGCTCAGTGGTTGGAGTGTCAGCCTGTGGACCAGAGAGTCCTGGGTTCGGTTCCCGTAGGGGCACATACCAAAAAAAAAAGAAAGAAAAGCGAATAGGTGGGTATGCTTATCCAGAGAAGAATTTAAATAACTACTCTGAGCCCAAGAGTTAAATTACTATCCAGGAGGCATTATCTTCTTGGGGTTATTCCTTATGATCTACTGCCTGTTCCTACTCAACCGAAATAACTGACCTATTTGCATATGTTTCTTACTACAGCCGTCCGTCCTTACTTCCGTTCGTTAGTGTGTGGAAACTAAAGCTTAGGAGAAAAACAGACATGGGTAGGGTCACTCAGATCCCAGGTCCTGGAGCAAGGATTCAAACCCAGGGCTGATAGACTCCACCATGACATATCCATCCCCATTCAAAACCCCCAAGGGTTTGAGCAGCCCGACCACTCCCAAACACAAACTCCTCATGGAGCGCAAAGGGGCGTTGCCTGCTTTTCTCATTCGCCCCACATGGCTGAATCCCAGCTGACACACTGGGCTGGCTTCCCTGAGGAGGCTGGCGCGGGATTTGTGGGGCGTCATTTCCTGATCTCCTCAGCACGGCTAGCAGCTTTATCCCCATGCTTTCTTTCTACATCTTTGTACAAATAAACAAATGCTCCTAATGATGGAGGAGACAGATTTTATCCTAAATCGCCTCTAATCTTGGTCTCTGGCATTTGTCAGCTGGTGCTCTTGGTCACGTCACACACATAAGCAACAACAAAAACATCCACCTGCTTCGAAGCAACCAAAAAACTACCATGATCTTTCAGCCTTTAGTCTACAAAGCGGCGGGGGTGGGTGGAGGATCAAGTTCTTAAGCGATACCATTATAGAGTTCTGTACACTAAGAAGTCAACCCAAGTGTTGGGGCATCTAACGTTACCTTGTGTCTTTGCAAAGTCAGATTTTACAGCAGCGAGTTGATTCATGAAGCACGAAGAAATGAATGGGAGATGCCAAACACCATTGGCGTGAGATACCGTCACTTTGCCCCCTGGGCAATTACTTTACAGCTGGTATAGCAAAGTCATCTTGAACAAGAGAACAGCCTGACGCTGTGTGTGTGTTTTATGAAAACCCTCAAACCTAGAAGTAACATAGAAAGTGCCATTTCTCCAGATGATAGGGAAAACCATGAACTGGGAGAGCTGGGGAGGGTCTCAGCACTGACCTATTTACATGCAGTTACGTGCACTGAGGCTGGAGTCCACAGGCAAGGATTTGAACTCGATCCTGGGCAAGTTTCTTCACGTTTACTCATCCCAAAATGGGATACATTTGAGGAGGCGGCAAAGCATCGTGCTTTAGAAGTAAAGCAGTCTGCATTCAAAACACCTGGCTGGGGACTCTGGCTCTCACCCCTCACTGCGTAGGGCTCAGTTCTGTCATCTCCAAAATGGGGACAAGGACACTGTTGCCTGCCTCCCAGGGCGTTGGCAAGGGGTATATATAACAATGCCTGGTGTCTGGATCACAAGCGGTCAGTAGACTTTATTTTTGTAAGACTGTCCACTTAAGAGGTTTCAAAAATAAGCACTAAGAGGTAGGACACACAGGAAGAAAGAATGAGCCTTCATAGCTATGACTTTAGTCTCTGTTCTCTGCCCCTTCAAAGCCCCACCCACAACCCAGGGCAGTCCTGGCCTTTTACAGATTTTATTTACCAGGGAGTGGTATAAAATTTGATGTCTAAAAGATTTTGTTGCTGAAGTAAAACAAAATTTTTTTTTGCAAACTTCTGCTCGAGACGACTCCCATGATACAGATAGGAAAATACAAGACAACAAAGGGTGTTGTTCCAGTTCACGCCACACGGGGGCCCCTGACCAGGGCTGAGCTCTGCCTCTGCTCTCACTCCAGCCTCAGGAGGGTCACTCCCATCTTAAGATGCTGCTAAACCTTGTGTTGGTCAGGATGATGCGGATGTTTGGAGACTGACGGGATCACAATGGGCCCAGCAACAGAAACAGGGAAATCAGGACCACATACGGGTGGGAGAGTGGGGGGTGGATGATTGATGGGGACGGGGAAGGGGAGGAGGAGAGAGAGAGACAGACCAGACAAACTGATTGACTGAGGGCAGAGGCGATGGCCAGGAAGAGGTGAGCAGTGATGCAGAAGAAAGAAGATGCTTCATGAAACTGATAATACAGAGAACAAATAGGAATGTCCAACTAGCACTTAGCAAACACTTACTTGTTAGCCAACTTACTTCCCACTTTACACAGATTATTTCATTCAATCCTTCCAAGAATGTAAGAAGGTTGATACTCCTATTACCCCCACTCCCCATTTTATAGGTGAACAAACACAGGCACAGAAAGGTTAGGTAACTTGCTTAAGGGCACACAGCTAGCAAAAGATAGAGATGGGTTAAAATCATAGTGGGTTAATTTCTGAGCTTTGAGCCATTACGTTTAGTAACTCTTAGGGATCAATAGACAGAAAAGAAGGATTAGTATTCACAGAAGCAGTAGCAGGGGTTTTACTGGCAGCAGCAGCTACTGTTGACTGAGCACTGCTCTGTGCTAGGCTCTGCGAGAAGCACATATAATATGACCTCATTTCCCTGTGAGGGCCACTGGGGATGGCAGATATTCTTACTCCAGTTGAACAGAAGAGAAAACCGGCCAGGTTGTTGGTAAGTTGCCCAAAGTCACACAGCTAACAGGTGACAGACCTCTTAAACCACCATTCTCGATCATGTTAACCCAGAGCCACATGGCACAGATAACTTTTATTTTTAATATTTTTTCTTTATTGATTTTAGAGAGAGAGGAAGGGAGAGGAAGAGAGAGATGGAAATATCGATGAGAGAGAACACTGATTGGCTGCCTCCTGCATGCCCCCCACTGGGGATCGGGTCCACAACCTGGGCATGTACCCTGACCGGGAATCGAACCAGCGACCTCCTGTAGCTCAACCAAGTGAGCTACACCGGCTGGGCCAGCACAAATATCTTGTGTTCTCAGATATAATGCCTCCCACCGTGGGATCACAGGCATTTCTGCAAGTGTTTTTACAAACACATTCTTGGTCCCTTCCACCTTCTGCTTCAGGCGGTCATGGTTGGATCTATGACTCCAAACTTTTCAGAAGTTCCCCAGGAGATTATTTTAAAAAATTTTCTAATCAGACTACATTGATTCAATAACCTGGTAAAAGTTTTGATATAAAGCATCCAACAGTATAAAAAATGCCAAACAGATGTGTCAATTTCTGATACATTTATACAGTGACAACCATAGTACATCCTACAGGCAATGGGCTAGAAGGGGTAAAAGAAGACCGTGGTTGAAGTCTAGGGATATGTAAAACAATACAGAAGTAGAGATGATCCATAGTACAGTATATTCTACCCCCACTACTGCAGTCAGAAGGCACAGAAAAAGGAACCATTTCCGAATAATTCCAGTGGAAAGCAGGACTCTTACACGCCTGACAGACCGTGGGACCTTGGTCCAGCTCACTGTTGATTTGCATACGGCGGCTTGTAGTTTTCTCCAAAAGGAAAACATATACCATCGTAAGTTTAGATTAAGAAGTACAGAACTATAGGGTGCCCAGAAAAAGTGGTTCATTCCTTAGCATTATTTATATGATCCCATTTTAAAATCCAGTTTTAAAAATAAGTACCGAGTCATGTTATTACAAGGTAGGCAGCTGATGCTCTCTCATCATGAAAAGTCTGAACCGGTAATATATTTTTTCTGAACTTTTAGACAAGAAGCCACGAGAGTGCTTTGGTTTGGGTTGAAGTGACAGGCTTTTCATAAGGGCTTTAGAATGGAGAGGCTCCATGTTCGGGATTTATCTCCTCACAGCTCAATGTTCAGAAAGTCCGATTACAAAGAAGCCAAATCAAAACCCACTCAGCCTTCCCACGTACCTCTTTTCTTTCAGTAGAACTTTACTTCAATAGAGATTAGGGAAAAACCACCCCAAACCCCAATAGGTTAAACAAGTCAAACAACCACTCTATTCAGATAAAACCGTCACAAGGGTCCATTGAAGTATCAGAGCTAAAACACAATTGTGCTGATTTTCAGTGAAGTCGCCAAGTATGTGACACAGACAAAGGTGATTTGGAGGTACAGCCAGGCTTGGTGATCGCACTCACACACATCTAGGTCTTGACTGCTTCTCACAAGACTGCCCGGGACTGACCGTGCTCCGATACACTTCCTGGCACGAACCCACGTCCCAGGCTCAGCGTTGGCAGATATGCCACAAAGACTTCACGACTTGAGAAATTTTCACCAGGGACCAGGCTCCAGGGTGGGGGCTTTCAACTGCCTCGATTTGAGAGAATCCAGCTAATTGGCCTAACTCACTCTTCTAGACACCCTTTCCTTCTTGCCCTGAGATGTACACAGTTAGTCCACTTGCGCTCATTGGTACACAGACCAATGAAAAAGTTTCCTTACCTAGAACTCGTAATCTCTCAGCTCCGACTACCACTTCGTTGTTGTCGGCAGAGAAGAGCAGTTTTCCAGAAACTGTCTTGACTTCAAACTTTTGGCCATAAGCTTCCACGGCCTTTGGACCTGGAAGGAGAGAGGGAGAAAACATCAATCTCGTCGTGGTCGATAGCAAAGCGCTTTTCTTAGAGCGGATACGTTTGACTAGATTGCATTGGACTTGAATGTAACTGGATTGGTTTCCAAGAGCCAACCATGAAAATCAGACTCACGACTTCAGCCATGTCTTGTCAGTTACCTTTCACCATCTGCTCTGGGGCTATGTCGATTTTAAAGGCCATCTTGTCCTTCCTCCCAACTGATGCTTGAATGAGATTTACCACAGCTGACCACCAAATTACTGTCAAATACTTATAGATTTTGGGTTGAATATATCAAGGGACGGAAGGCTCACCACCACTTGAAGCAACCAGTGTACCTGCGGCCAACTTTAAATCCAGCTGAAACGTGCCTCACTCTGGCCCCTTGAGCCATTGTTTGCATGTGACACCACACAAGTCTGTTTCTTCAGTGTACAGATCACTTCCTGGCAGGAAAGGTTTTAATGCATTACAATTTCTTGCCTGGGAGGTTGTTGACTCTTTTATGCTAGAATTTCATTCCATAAAATAAAAATAAATAAATTTTAGAGGGTTTATCATATGACAATAGATAACTCTTCTTGAAGGTGGGGCTATAGGGCATACATAAGACAAAGCCCCTGCTCCCGTAGTACTTGTCTTCTGATGGAGACAGATGAATTAAGTTTAAACATGTATAAATAAAGAAATAGCTGCAGAGACTTTTGGGTACTGTGGGAACAATAAAGCAGGTGAATGTGTTAGGATTCCTAAAACAAACAAACAAACAAAAACCAGAAAGGAGACAACTCAGCCGATCTGAGCTCGAACCACCTGAAGTTCGTCAGAAAAACCCGGAGGGTCATTCTCCTCACTGAACCCAGCTCAGATCCAAAGGAATTTCTCTTTTGGTCGGGAAATTCATACAGAAATAATTTCCAGGACAGGGTCCAGAAATCTTATAGTTAACCAGAATTTTCCAGGAGATTCTGACATAGAATTTTTGTCCCCTTCTAGTTGTTAATAAAAAGTAGTAATAAAAAAGTCCTCGTGCCTTCCAGGCAAAAACAGCCAAGAAACATACCTGTTGTTGGAGGAGTTGGGTTGGATACTCACTGCTATGAGGGAACACACACCAAGGACCACCACACGGGACATGTCGGTAACAAGGAAGGACTCACTACGGTATTTGGCCTTACATTGGGTTATTTCGGCAGGGTCTAAGGAAACAGGACTTTGCTTGGAATTAGATGCTGTCAGCAATGGGGAGTCGTTTCATGGTTGGTACCTTAATACATCTTTTCTAGAAGTAGGGAAGACCAGAGCAATGCTAAAACTGTAACAATGAGGAAACCACAGTCAAATTAGGTAGGGCAGAGGGATGTTTGGTCATGTTTGTGGTTGGGATAAACGTCTTCATTCTGTCTGAGCTGTCTTTGTTTTGTCTTTATCCTACATGGCCACCAAGTGGCCTTCTCTGGTGTTGATGTTCTGTGAAGTTATTTATGTTCAAGTGGGAGAACAGCAAGGCTTGGCTGGCAGTGCCCGGCCAGGCCCTGGGTGGGTGGGGCTGCTTTCCTCCTTGTCAAGGCCATCAGTCTAAGAATCAGATGGCAAGAATTACATCCTAACCATCTCCTGGCAACGTGACTCTGGGCAGATCGTTCGATCTTTCTGAACCCCCTTTTCCACATCGGTAAAATTGCGCTGTCGTCCTATCTACCCCACAGAAAGGTTGAAATGGTCATATGATACTGTTTATAAAAAGGACTTGGAAGGCAGAAAGACTGTGAAACACAGGGGGTTGTTCTTGCGATTGTCACCATCACTGTGATCATGGCCACCGGCCGTGTTCTAATGCAGTGGTCACCGCACACTGAAACTAACGAATGACTAGGACCTTTAGGGCTCCGTCCACATGATCCCGTCAACTTGGCAGACCTGCTCTCTGGCCAGAGCATCCACACGAGCCCTCTGCTAAAATCAGTGACATCGGAAAAGCTTCTGAGTGAGCGGGGAATTGAGATAGCAGACATGGCCCAGAACGTCCCAACGGCGCAGGACCTGGACACTGTCTTCTCCAACCACCTCCTGCTGCAGGTAAGACGAGCAAGTGGCAGAAAGGCTGAGGGCTCCCAAGGTCAGCAAGTGAGCCAAGGGCAGGCCCGTCCCACAGAGGAAAAGGGACGCCTGCTTGTCCAGGGAGGAGGGGGGCTGGAGTCGACATGAAGAGCAGACAGAAAAGGAGCTTTTGGAGGATGGGGGGGAAGGAGGAGGCTGGAGAAAGGGCCAGAAGAGATCCTGAAGGAACGGAGATGTACACACTTCGGATTAGTTGTCCTGGGAGGGCTATGATGCGGCTGCCTTCTTGGCGACGCCCAGACCTTCAGGAAAATCTGTATTGCTGGTCAAGGCTTTGGGGTTGTTACTTTTGGGGGGGGGTGATGCAGGATCAGGAGGTAAAGCAGTGCTAAGGAATGACCTCAGGACGGGCACAGGTGGACCCAGTCAGATGGCAAAGTGGTGGCATGACTGGGGACCACAAGTACTTGGACTTTGCCCCCACGAACCTAGGCCATCACCTAGGACAGGGTCCCTGGGGAGTCGAGAACACCTGCTTCTGTGCAAGCCGTGTGTACTCCGAACTCATAGACAGTGCCTGAGACGTACAACAGTCAGAGAACACAACACAAGTCAGCTATCTTGCTCTTCAGGGCTTCTCAGCACACAAAATGGAACTGACCAAAGGCCAGAACCGTTTGGGTGTAGCAAGCTCATGGATTGGTAGCTGTAGTCGAAACCTCGCAGAGAGACTGCTGGCTCACCCATGCAGACGGCGTGTTTGCAATGTCACCCAGGGCTGCCAAGCCTCCCGGGACCTGGAGAGATCTTTCGAGCAATGCGTCTAGAGCAGATGTGCAGCCGGTGTGCCGCAAGGATCCTTAACACGTGCAGTACCTGACCTTCCGGTTGACAAGTAAAAACATGACAGCAGCCAACGGAACAAGAGCCGTCCCATGTGAATGAGTCAAAATTATACCTGTTTTTTGTCAGACAGGCAGAAAATATATATTTTGGTGTGCTGCAGAGCTGTAGTAATTAGTGTCTGTGTGCTTTGAAATGAAAAAGTTGAAAATCGCTGTTTTGCAAGGAAATGCGCATGGAACCGGAGACTGGGGGCCCAGGAGGTCCCTCTGTGAACCCACTGCTCCTCTCTGGGTAGAAAAGTCACTATTTGCAACCTGGAGCCAATCTGCAGTTAATCCCCCTCTGTGCGCTGTAGTCTGTGTGGGAAGCACCTTACCCACTAACCCCTACACAGGGAGACCTGGACTTTAAGAGGGTGCATCGGCAGTGTCCCAGGCAGGCCAGGCCGCCAGTATGGGAGCTGGAGTGGCCTGCAGTCTCCCAGCCTAACTTCTTCCCCCAGCTCCCTTGATACTGGGTCCCTTCCCCTCTCTGGCGAGATGCTATAGAAGACCCCCCACACACATTCCAACACACACACAATTTTATTTCTTGCAGGTCAGAGAGTTTCCTTTTGGGACCCACTGCTGAGCAGATACTAAATCAGCAACAGTCCGAGTCACAGGTGCATTTGTGGTCTATCCTGGGAACTCAACCATCACTTAAAACCCTGTTCCACAGGGACAAAGTTACTTGAATTGCTACCATTGGAATTGTTCTGGACATCTGAGACATTCTTAGGTAAACGGGGGGATCCCCGAATCCTCTGGGTTGCCTTAGGAAACCTGGCCTCTCGGACCACGGGAGCCTTTGCACCGGGCAGGTACCCCAGCAGGTGTAACAGGCTTTCGAAGAAACTCTCTGCTCCGGGCTGCCCACTGTGTGCACAGCCCACGGAGAACCTGGTGGGGAACTTCAGGGGTGGGGTGCACGTGTGCAGGAGTGCTTAGCAGTATGTTTCGAACACAGCTGCTTCCTCTTTACGAAACAGCCTGAAAGGCTCCTGCTGGCTAGTTTGGGACGGCTTGTTGCTATCTCATGTGAATATCAGTTACCTTGTCCTGGCCGGTTTGGCTCAGTGGTTAGAACATTGGCCCGCGGACCAGGGAGTCCCGGGTTTGGTTCCCACCAGGGGCACAAACCTCAGTTGCAGTTTGTCCCCGGCCCCGGCTGGGGTCGTGGGGTGGCAGCCAGTAGATGTGTCTCTCTCACATCGATGTTTCTCTCCCTCTCTCCCTCACTCTCTCCTCCCCCCTCTATCTGAAGATAAATGCAAAAATATCCTCAGGTGAGGATAAAAATATACAATATATATCTCAGTTATCTTGAGGCTGGCTCTCAGCATTAAGGACAGGTGTGGCGGCGCCAAGGGACCTGACTTGGGCAGGGGGGACAGAAAAACAGGAGACAGGGAAGGAGGGAGGCAAGAGAGAGGAGAGGATAGAAGAAGGAAAAGAGAGAGAAAGGAGCTAAGGAGGAGGAAGGAAGGGGCAGAGGGAAGGAGGAGAGGGAAGAGAAGGGGAAGAGAAAGGAAGGGATGAGGGGGGCAGGGAGGTGGGAGGAGAGGGGAGCCAGAGAGGGACAGCGAGAAACGCTGCCTCTGCTTCTTCCCCGAAGACTAGTCATGTGGGCAGTCCCAGCTTTATCAAAGCAAAATCGCTCAAGTAAACCACATCTCCCACCGCGAATAAATGGCAAATGATCAACAGGCTGAATGAGTTCCTTTTGCATTTGGAACTCTGGGAGCTGGAGGTTGGATTTATTCCCCTCCTGGAGGCAATTTTCACACGCGCCACTTAAATCATTGCCTACTGAAGCCGTTTATTTAATTATTTAGCACTGTGACTGCGGGCCAGATGTTCTCGGAGCACCGCTGACGACCGGCTCACACGCAGGAACAACCTGTTTATGGATTGTTTCTCCCCACCCTGAGTTCTCCACTGGTAGACGGTCCGAGTCACCCACGGGCTGTTGATCCCCAGACGGCCAGGTGCAGGGCTTGTCGGAGCAGACCGGGGGGCTCCTTCCCCAGCCCCCATGGCGTGCGTATTCGTGGGGCTCCAGATGTTTAAGTCACAGGGACGTTTCAGGGCATGTGGGCAACTGGCTTCTCACAATGTCCATCTGTGGACTCTTCGCTCAGCTCTGAAGCCAAACAAATGAGGTTTCGGTCTGGAAGTGTAACGATGCCCTTCAGACACACCTGATTCCTTTCCACATGCTGGGTCCTGTTTACTGGGGCTCGTGACATACAGAGGAGCCTCGGTCATACCACTCAGCACATGACATGGCCACGGGGCCTGTGTTTATCATTGTGAGCATTATTGTGAACAATCGATCCTTGTTTACATTGCAGGGATATGTCACTTAAACCCTAGTGGGCGCTTTCCACAGCTGTTAGGGGCAGACCTGCTACATTGAAAGGAACCACACACACATATTCCTGGGGGTACAAATGCATCTTGTGATGGAGTGAGGTTCGAGGTCAGCACGTACGGCAAATGTGGCTGGATCCAAGCTACCATCACAAATCCCTTTCACACCCCATGGAGTCCGGTGGGCACGTACGTAGACCGCGCTCTCGCTCAATTAACCCAACGCATCAGCTTTGCGCCCAGCGCGGGAGCACAGGGCTTTTCTGTGGTCGAGCACCAGGGGCAGCAGCTGCCTGTGTCTGGGGGCAATGCTACCCGAGGGACAGTTTAATCCCCTCTGAGCAAATATCACTGGATTTGCATACGGTACGTGATACTATGGAGACGCCCCGCCCCCTGGCAGAGCCGTGGAGCTCGTGCTGCCCCCTTTGTCCACACTGTGGCCGGTGTCGGCGGACACTGCTTCCCTCAGTTCGCGGGGGGCTACATCCAAGGGCTGGTCCCCCGTGTCCCCAGGGCTGAGCACGGGCCAGGTGCTGCTCAGGTCTCTGCTCTTACCTGTTATCAGCCGAGTCAGCACTTTCGTCTGCTCGTTGAGAATGTTCACTGTCACGTTCCTGGCTGACTTGAAGTACAGGGCGTTCCCCTGCAAGGAGGGAGAGAGAGACGGTGAAAATACAGCAGGTTCCCCGGAGAACTGGGATCCCCACTCTGACGAAGCAGAACCGATTTTAGCCAAGTCCTAATTGATGTGTCTTAAAAAAAAAAAACTTTAAGTGGTTAATGATCCCCACACATGTGATCATTGGCATTCATCCAAAACAGATTTCCTCCAAAGAAATACACAGATAGATACACACTCAACATGGATTTCCATAACACACACACACATGCACACGGTTGAGTCAGAGACAGCTGGGCTACACAGAGCCCTTTAGAGTGAGTTAGACTTGGCACATGGAATGATCAGGAATAACGGATAACCTGGATTATAATTTATCCAAAGGAACCATACAGAGTCCTTGACAGAGGCCAGAAAACTTGTGTAAAACGGCCGACGTCTGCCCGTCTGGCACGTCCACTGGCTGGGAGTCGAGAAGACTGAGCTCCCTTAGCGGAGATTTCTGCCACACAGGACAGGACCCAGGGGATGTGGCCCGCCCAGGGGCTCTGCCTTCCCTTTCTTCCTTCTCTGGTGGGCAGATCTCTCCTCCTGCAGGCTCTCTGTGCCTTCACCAATTCCCCCTTTATCACACAGGCCACCTGACCCCTTTTCACACCCTGGTAGACATTTCTGACAATGACAGAACAGGGGTTGGCAGACTTTTTCTGTACAGGGTTTGACAGTAAACAGTTTGGGCTTTGTGGGATGTACACAGTCTCTGTGGGATGTACACAGTCTCTGTGGGATGTACACAGTCTCTGTGGTGACCACTCAATGGCTCACTGCTGTTTGGGTGCAAAACGGCCACAGACAATACACAGACCAATGGGTATGGCTGCATTCTCATAAAACTTGATTAATAAGCAATGACATTTGAATTGCATGTAATTGAAGAATTCAAATTTAATGTACTCTTACTGTGTCATAAAGTATTTTTCCTCTATTTTTCCCTACCAATCATTTAAAAATGAAAAATTATATTACCAGAGGGAAAACGGGTGGGGGAGGTAGGGGAGGGTAAAGGGAGATAAATGGTGATGGAGAGAAACTTGACTTGGGTGGTGAACACACAATAGAGTGTATAGGATATGTTTATTGATTTTTAGAGAGAGGATGGGAGAAAGAGACAATGATGTGAGAGAAATATCAATCAGTTGCCTTCCGCATGTTCCCTAACCAGGAATGGAACCCACAACCTTTTGGTGTACGGGATGATGCTTCAACCAACTGAGCCACCTGGCAGGCACTGTATACTTTTATTAACCAATGTCACCCGTAGATTAAATGACAATAATATAAAAGTTATTCCACATGAGAACAGGGCTGGAGTACATCAAAGCCACGCACCACAGGGTGAATCTGACAGATCATGTCAGTAATCAGATGTCATTATTAGAGAAAAGAATGTGGTTATTCCTTCTCATTTCGTAACCTGTCACCACATGGCAGGTATGTGCCTGAAAATCCAACAGTCCCTGTATCCACTGAGTCCCAAACCCAGAAAAACCATCGTCCTAAGAGCTGTGAGGAAACTGAAGGCAGGCAAGCCTCGGTCTTTACTTCGAAAGTCTCGTGTTCTCATGGGGGCAAAGACAGGGCCACCGCCTGACAGCAGGCGGAGGACAGCGGGGTGAGGAGCAAGCTACGAAGTGTGGGGGAACTTTCCCGAAGGGTAAGAGCATCCATGGAGCTGGACCTGGGCAGCAAAGGAGATGCTTGAGCAGAGCTGTGAAAGGGACACAGGGTTTTACCAAGATGCACTGGAAAGAGGAGGTCATGGAGGTGGGAGGTTGCGGGCCGACTGCCTAACGTCTTTTCCTTCTGAAGCTGGTGGGTGCAGGGTCGCTTTGGCGACCCCGCCTCGTGCCCGCTGCTGGCAGGGCCGTCCTGCCAGGCAGCCGACACCCGGGCCCGAGGCGGTTCCCACAGTGCCCAGGGGATGGGTTGGCCAACACCAAGGCATTTTCCCATAGAAAACAGTCTGGAGTTAAGGTCTCTCTCACCCAAGGTCCACTGCTACAAAGGGTAACCGATACCCAAGACCGCTCAGGCCCTGAATGACCAGTAGCCTTGGTGAGAGCTGCTGTCCCAGCGGTGGGACAGAGACCTTGAGCTCTGCTATGGCAGGGTGACCACGGAGTCACTGGGATCCTCCACGATGGCTTCCAGTGAATATTCTGCCTGACAAAAAAGGTTGTTTTTTTTAATTAGGTCAGACAAAAAATACATTAAATCAAATATTCATATAGGTTCTCTTCTGTCCATCAGGAAGCAACCCTCAGCCAGAAACAGTTTCTTTGGCATTGCTTCCCACGGCGCTCCATGGCTGTGCTCACAACTTAAAAATGTAAGAAATGTGGGCATTCAGAGCCTGGAACCCAGGCAGGAGGTTACACCTTCCCAGAGGTTCGCATTCTAACATTTCTGTGTGGAGTCAGCAACCGGAGGCTGCAGAGAGCAGGGCGCCTGGAGTCAGAGAACCGCAGAGATGGCATCGCCCCCGGCCGGCGTGGGCCCAGAGCAAGGTGCCTGCACTGTTCTGTGGCTCTTTCTGTGCCTTCCCGCCGTCAACAAACCCACGGCCACGTAACAGCACTGGCTCTGCCACGTGTGCAGGAGAAACCTGGGGTCGCCTCGTTTCCAATCACTGCCATCTCCCACTTGGGCAACCTCGGGCATGGTACTTAATTGCGCCAAGCCTTGGTGTCTTGAGATGTAGGATGGTGCAAACACTGATTATTATTGAAACACGCGTATTATTAAAATTATTAAATTCTATGTGCAATAACACACATGGGCCAGTGCCAGGCACCCAGCAAGTCCTCTGAAGATGTTAAGGTAAGGGACAGCAGGAAAGGGGTGCAGTGACAGAGGCAGGAGGGGGAGGGGAGGAACAGGAAGGACAGAGGGGGAGAGACGAGGAAGACTCTCCTTGGCATTACCTGCCCTCGCCACCCATCTGTGCAGGGAATCGGGCTTCTTCCCTTCGCCACGTTCTCTGTTTCCATATTTCAAAGGCTCCCCCTGCATGTGGCTGGCTCGTCACTACCTTTCAAATCCAGTATCTTCAAATGCCACTTGCCTGCTCTTAATATTATTCAAATAATTCTACTGTGAAAAAAATATCTTGTAACAGCTTTGATCAAGGTTTATACCAAAAAAAAAAAAAAAAATGCTACCAGTCCTTTTTATTACCATGTCACAACATTATACTGTAGCATTAATTGTAACACACTAACCTCCTGGGAAACAGTGTTTGCTACATCAGGGTTGAAACAAAGAGCCCCATGCTAGCCTGGGACACACTGCTGCAATTGTCCCAAATACGTGATAACAGAAAGATGACCAGCAAAAAAAAAAGCATTAATCAGGTAACAAATGGGAAGAGCCGGGCAAGGAAGCTGGGTGGTGCGATTTTATTTGGCTCTCGGGTTCTGCTTACTGGACAAAAGCAGGAAAATACGAGCCAAGCAAAAGGTCCCGGGGGTCTCTAGGTATGAGAACAAGTTGAGCAAGTGCTCCCTCTCCTACCTAAGGAGAAGCGGAACCTGCCCTCTCAGCTTCTTCTTTTCCCGGCGCCCCTCCCCCTCCCCACGGCAGCCTCCGGGTCTGGGGAGGTGATTTCTGCCGCAGGACATCCTGCTCTGTGATCGGCGACTTTCACTACTGACCTCACGGCAACCACGGAGGACCAGGGGTTTGTGGGCAGCTGCCTGGCAGAAAGGAGGCTGGCGGACCTGCGTGGATGAGGGTGACTCGAGGTCTGGACACAGGGTGAGGCTGCTTGGGGGCTGGGAACCGACGGTGCAGTACTTCTGTCACAGTGGGCGAGGATGGTCTGAACCCGTCCCCTCCCCAAACGATGAAAGCAAGCAGCACTGAGAGGGAAGAGAATCCCTGTCACCTCTGTTTCTCTAAAGCAGAACAGAACCAAACTTGCTCTTCGTGGCTTTAGACCACTGAGTGACCGTGGTTTGTCCACAGTGCCCTCCAGGGGCGACTGCATGCATGTGGCTATTTGAATGCTAAAAGGCTCCATCTGGCCGACACTTTAAAATTACTCTGAATTTTAAAAATGTATTACTTATTTTTATATCTAAACAGTATTTGTAAATGTCGAATATTACAAAACCGGTATCACACCTCTCACCACTGAGAGATTTCAGCTTTCTAGTGCGGGCCAGAAAGAGGCCCTGGAAGACATCAACCGAAAGAAACCTCACAGGGTGATCGGATCAAAAATTCCTAACCGGGCAGGTCCTGGTGGGTCATCGTGCTCCAGGTCTAGCACTTCTTTAGTGAAAGGTTTAAGCAAGCCCTGCCCATGTTCTTGTGCATCTAGGTTCACACACCTTGAAATGCCAGAAGTAAACTTCTTTCCATCCTCTTCCTAGGCACAGCCTCCCTCGCGGGAACACAGACTCCTGCTAACTACCTCTGCCTCGCTTTCCCTCGCCTTGATGCTATCTTCTGTTCCCTCCTTAATTCCAAAGGCATGGAGAGTCTGCAAAACTGTCATTCTCTGGAGCATCGGAGATCTTGTTTCCCAGAAATGTCGTCACTTTTGGCTCAGATAGACTCTTTTGTTGATTAATGTTTTTGTTTGAAGTATTACAGATGTCCCCCTCTATTCCCCGTTGACCCCTTTCTTCCCGCTCCCACCCCCCAAATTCTCTACAGGTTTAGACATTTCTTATATTCACCTCAGGTAACTCCTTCAGGTACTTTTCTCCCTGTGGCCCCAAATAGGCTTCTATACGATCTCTTGATTTGTCAACGTTAGATGCTGTCCACTGCAATTCTGCAAAGGTATGGGTTGTTTCTTACAACTTCCGTTCCATCAATATTCAGAATCTACGTTACTATGATTGTTATATTGTCCACATCTGAGTCAAGCAGGGTTCTTTAGCTACACATCCTTTTTCTTGCACAATTTTTCCCTGGCTACAATAAATGTTTCATTTTATTTGAAAAAATTTCTA